TCACGGCAGAGAGCCGTGACAGGATCGAGAGGTGAGCGAACCCGGTATGTTTTCCCTCACCTCCCGATCTACTGAGCCGACCTGTGACAGTCTCATTGTCACAGGTCGGCTAGAACTATGAGGTGAGTGAAAAGCACATCATAGTTCTCCTTTAATGGTTTATTATATAGGTTAGGTCAAGTGTACTGCTGGTTACTGACAGTAGATGTCAATTTAGCTTCAATGTTTATTAGAAAAATTAACAGAATGAATCATTCACCATTTTTTAATGACAGCTGGCCAATCAACTGGAAAAAAAAAACATGGTGTAAAATCCGATTGCTTTTTAGTAGGGATGCACCGATACTTGGCATTTTCATGAGAACTACCAGGGTGCAGCGGTTGCAGCTGGGAACTGTCTCTGGCGCTCCACCACTGTCCTGAAATCATTAGTCTGTATTGTTTTAGGAAAACTGTCACAAGACAATAAACAAAAATGTATCAGTACTTGTATCTGTAAGTACTTAGACAAGTATCAGTACTTGTATCTGTAAGTACTTGGGCATGTATCAGTACTTGCAAAAATGGTATCGGTGCATCCCTTTATATATGTCTATAAAAACAAAATCATACATTAAAACAGATGTACAAATCCCTCTAGTTTAGTCTTGGAGCTCAGAAGTATCTGTACTTGTACCGAGTACAGTAATTGGTATCAGTGCATCCCTACTTTGATGGGTGTTCCTGTATTGGATCACCTTCCATTTGATCTCAATTATTCTATTAAATCTGTTTCAATCCATAAAGTTAATTGACGTTTCCCAGACTATCAAAATCGTTAATAGGTCTCTATTGTACTTTCATTTAATCATGACAATCTGGTTGCCAGTGGCTATAATTGCTGCGTGTATGACCAGCAATAGAGTGTGGGTAGGGGGTGTAAGTGGTTCCAATTAACAGTTGGAAAGAGCCAAGAATTTAGGGGTAGAGACATGTACCGTAGTTTGAGGTTGCTTTTGGCACCAATGTACCTCCAAAGCACCGAGGGGCAGAGCCGGATTAAGAGCATCAAGGGCCTGGTGGCTGCATGGTCAGCTCGGCCAGGGGGTCTAAAGGACCCCTGGATAGCAGTAAAAACCCCATAGGGGTTCTAATTATTCCCCACTCTATTCAAAACCAGAAAAAAACGTTTTTGGCTTGACAATTACACATTAGTAGTTTAAATTATACCACCAGAGATTGGGGGGAAAAAAAAAGCCCACCACAACATACTTTTACTTTAGGTATGTCTGAATGTCATAATTTCCCCTAAAACGTTTTAGACTTTCTTTCCAAAAACATTTTAGCATAGGACAACACAACTTGCATCCTTCTGGTTATCCAGGAATAACAAGCGCCAGGGAGCCCTGTGGCCAGGTAGAAGCTGGTGGCGCATAATGTGGCTTGTGGCTGCTTGTCAGCTGATGCCCCTCCCAATTTCAGTGACACTTGGGAAAGGAAAATACGGATTATATAATAGGGATCAGATTGCTTTTCTAGGGGTAAATATATAAGCCACACTTTGTACAATAACCAGACAGATAAAGGTCTTCCATTACCTCTCTTCTTGTGCTGGTAGTTTCACTTCATGCTTTGACTTCCTAAAGGAGAACAATGATGCGAACGGCGAGCGGATCTTCAGGAAGGAAGGTCCAGTGTTAGAGCTCTTCGGGGACTGGTAGGTCCTCGATGAGGACATCCTGGAGGATTCCAAGTCTAAAAACATAGTAGCATATGATTATTTATCCTCAACCTGTGATACATTTGAACTTTTAGAAGAAAATTTTACTGCATAAAAATCATACATCCACATGAACTGAACTCATAACTCCAAACATGGCTGAGGAACGTTTCCAGGAAGCTGGGAGTATGTTGCCTGCATGTACACTGATCTAGAAAGTAGTGATTGTAATAAAAGGGAAAGTTCACCATGCATGCATAAAAATAATAATAATACAATATAATCATTCCAGCTAAAAAAGAGACACAGAAGCTATACATATACGTACGTACAATTATCGGATACTTTGGCTCATATTTTGAACGAGTTAAGGCACATATCCCATATCCTGTGTTCTGCTAGAGGAAGGTCCATGTATGAGTGCACTATGCGTTAAGGTGCCTTTTATCTCCTGACATAGTGAAAGATATTCCACGCCATAAAATGTGTCCATCCATGCAGAAGATCTCGGTCAAGCAGTGTGCAGCCACATGTCGATTAGTGAAAGTGTTTGCAGCATGTGCAATCTGAGCCAACTTATCATAGAAAAATCTGATGTACATGATCAAAGTACAAAGTATGTAGCTATTGTTAGAACAGCTTGAACAGGGAAACATGAAATGAAAACTTCCTGGTGAAAACCACAAGATGCATTGCAGCCACCAGACATAGTAATGTTTCAGCAAAGTATATATGTGCAGCCAATACCTCATTTATTTTTGTTTTGGACAGAGTGTGGGACTGTAAAAGGGACTATATCTTTAAAGGAAACCAAGAGCTAAAGACACGTTTGAACTGGGAAAAATCCAATAAACTATCCCACACTATCTCTAATGCCAGAAGAAAAAACTTTGGCAAATGGTGGCACCCTGTAAACAGTGAAACAGTTTACAGCTCTCCAAACAGACCAACATGATGTTTGGTGGATGCGGTGGCCCCCTTTTAGAGGGCAAAATACAGAACTAACAAACGGTAAACAGAATATAAAACCCCATGAAAGTGGTCATCCATTATGGTCAAAAAGGATCACCCAAATGGTGCTCCCAGGGCCTGCAGACAAAGTGCACTTAATCAACAGATGTTGCAATAAGCACATAGCACTTACCTGTTCCTATGTTTAGAATAAGGATGTTCTGCCATTGTGCATGCGTACAGGAAGAGCATAATGCACAGGTGTGTGATGCACCTGGCTCAATCTGTTGTCAACAAATGTTGGCCATTGCCACAGCAACACCAACTGCATGTCAAAACAGCACCCATGATTCAAATGCAACAGGAAAGAGACAAATTTGTGTTCAGGCCCCTAGGAAAAACCATTCGCATGGTGTGAATCTTACAGGATTTCTTCTGTAGTAGAATGTTGGCCCTGCCACCACCTTGGTGAATTCTTCTTAGTTCATGGATTTGATGCTGAGCAATAATGATGTGGACTGCAACTGGCATATCTCAATTCATGGGTTTGTTTTGATGGTTAATTTCCAGGGCCATCTAAAGGTCACTCCAGTGTTTTTGAAATCTGCACTTGAAGATGCATGTAGTCATTCCATTATACAGTGGAGAGCACAGACATGTTAATAGATACAGTTACACATTTTACAATTATGGTGTTGGTGTATCTAAAAGGTTTGGCCTGTTTGGGAACAAATAGAACTACAAATAAGCAAATTACAAATGATGATACCGTTCATTCATCTGAAGCAACTCTTCTTGTCAAAAATGCAAAATTGAACTTTTTGAGTGTTCTTATTCGGGTCAGGTCTCATCAGTAAAGCTCTAAGATTTTTACTTTGTTTATAATGTATGCATGTGTGTATTTGGCATTCAGACATACAGTAAGTTATGCATCTGAATGAACAGAACCATAAACACAGCTATCAATTCGCGATAACTTGTTCAAACATTATTCTTCACTCTGTCAAGTGCCCTCTGTAAGCTGGCCTTAGGGAACCCACGCTCTAAGAACTTGTTCCCGATTAGATAAATCTGGGGATTCCTTTCTACTACCTCGGAACAGATGCACAATATCCCTACAAATTGTGAGAAGGGAAGGTTTTTGTGTAGGTCTTTGGGGCATACACTGGAGCAGCGCAGAAGGGTATTCCAGTGCACATGCCAAACACCTAGGTGAAAACTTTCCGTTCCACAATTGTTAGGGCTGTGGCGCCTCTGTTCTGCAGTAGTAGAAAGGAATCACCAGATTAATCTGATGAGGAACAAGTTCTTAGAACATAGATATCCAAAGGCTCTAGAGGGCACTTGACAGAGCGAATAATATTGTTTTGAACCAGTTATTGCAACACAGTGATATTGTTGAGGTTTCAGACACAAGTTCATCTCTAAATGGGCCTAAAATATAACAAGCCAACATGACAGTATTCATTCATGTGAGGAGGATAAATACTGTGAAAATATAAAAAGTTCCCCATCACTTTTTTGACAAGAAGAGTTGCTTCTAATTTGTGATTCAACTTGTCCACACCATAACAAAGGCCAAATCTTTCAGATATGCCAATACTATCAAAAGTAATACAGTTTACTAGGCCTGCTTATTGAAATGTCCGTACTCTCTGCTGTATATCGAAACAACTAAAAGTATCCTCAAGGGCAGACACCGGAAACATTCAGGGAGTCCTGGAGAATATCTGTCAAAACAAGCCCATTAAAATAGAGAGATAAGCCAGTTGAGCTCCACTTTGTTAATGCTTAGCACCAAATTCATGAATTAAGAGGAACTGATCACATTCCATGGCTTACTTGTGGTATCAACAGGGCCAATATTCCACTACGGAGGCAAGCTTTTTGGATTCACACTATTCAAACTATTAATTCCTAGGAGCCATAGCATATTTTGCAATCTAGGTCACAAGTGTAACCGTATTATGTTTTTTTAACTCGTTTTCATACACAGACAAGGGTGCTATTTGTTCTGCTGCTTTACTCCTTCCACTGGCGCAAGCCCACTGCTGTTTTCCACTTAACCACAGATCATCGGCCTTTCTATTTGCTTTTACACATTTTACTTTGTTTTGCCAGACCATTGGTGTTGCTGGACCCATTGAGCCATAAAAGCGTCACACACATGCAGTATGTGCTTTCTGTGCAATGGCACAACTAATGATTATTGGAAAAGGCTCCAAATGAAGCACTCATTGTTTGCCATTCTGATTCCATATATAGGCATGGGTAGGTGCTGTGCACGGATTGCGACTTCTGCTGATCAGTAGCACTTTGTCTACAGGCCCTGAGAACAGCATTCGGTACTCCATTGTGGGGGAAGAGATTATTTTGGACTGTGCTGGGTGGTCAGAAATATTACATAAATATGTATGTTCTGTTCATTATCCTATTAGGTTGTTCTGCATGATAACTTGTAAAAAGGGGCCACTGCATCCCAAAAATGTCACATTGGTCTGTATAAAAAACAACAATGGATAAAGCGCACACCTGTTAGGACACAATTCAGGAATGTGGATAACGGGGAATGGTGTGCAATGCTCCTCAATACAGGGAGAGGAGCCCTATAGATCAAAAAACAACCCTGAGGCTTGAAAAAGAGGGAACCCCTCGAAACACGTAGCCGTCTATCCACTGAGAGCCTCCATCCCTTGTACAGCCCTCCACCACTTTCGTTTTTAAGTGCGAGACATCCGAAAACCCTGAGACAGCAGCCCGCTGAATCATTGATCAAACGGCGCCCGGCGTGTCAGTGCTGTTCGCGGCTCCTCTATCTCTCAAACTCTCTCACAGCCGCCGCGGCTCAGCTTGGCCAGCCGAGTACGTGGGCTGCTCCACCACTTCACACTTCGTCCAGACCTGCCAACATCCCCCACTGGAGTTAATCATTTATCGAGAAAGTTCCTTTCCAGTAAATTGACACTCAGATACCACGAGACCTTCCAACTGCGAGTCCATTGCCTTTATGCATTAGATACCAGCATTTCCATGGTAGTAGCGCTCCCATGAACCATTTGTATATTACCTATATGAGTTTTTACTGCTAGCTACACCAGGTCTATTGAAACACATCCAGGTAGTTGCGCTCCTCAGCCCATTGTTCTACATTGGTCTGTATAGAACTCTGGCAAACTGCTTACTGGAGTTAGGTGTGCTGACATTTTTGTTTACAGGTATGAAGTGCAGCCATACAGAGGTAAAAAAAAAAGTTATAGTGAGGTATATAGATTTGTTCTGTTTTGGAGAACCACAAGCTATATAGCCAATTCTTTCCTTATCTAACTTACCAAGCCGAAGTTGGAGTGGTTGTTACAGGTTACTACACTTTTCCAAATGATCATGATTTTTAGGGTCTCGTCTAATAAACTGCTTCGACTAAAACAGACTTCGCTCTAGAAAGCACGGTCTTCCTATTAGATCAGGCTTTCCTCGCTCTTTACAAATAATCATACGATCATAGTAGAAAAACACCTGTGGTGGAAAAAGGTTAAAAATATATAGTTACCTTAGCCCCACCAGCACCTAGGCAAAGTTACCTTCCATCTGCTGAGATTCAGGGAACAATGAGGACTCCAAATATCCTGAAAAGATGCTCTGCACTGTGCTGGGGTATCATTTTCCAAGATTAGGGACATTCCCTGGGATCTCACCAGATTGATAATGACGTAACCCCCTGCAGTTCGTACGTCAGATGGTTAAGGTAAGGACGTTTCCCTTCCCCCTGTTTTCTAACGTTTTTCTTCTACTATCATATGGCAATTCATAAAGGGAAGGGAGGCCTAAAGTAAAAAGTGGACCTTGATTTCAAGTGCAAGGTCCACTTTAACAGCAACTATTATTGTAGGTAGTAAAAAGCATGTTTTTTCAATTCTTATATACTGTACATTCCAGACCATTATCAATATCAAAATCATATGAGCTTAAAAATTCTATAAATTATATGATAATTACGTCTTCAATTTGAGCTAAGGGACTACAAAGATAAGTATAATCATACCTGCACATTTGTCCATACCACACCCAAACAATATGAATATTGGACGGACTATATCATAATGTAAACTGAAGTAGGTAAGACAGCATTCCAACCAGAAAACAGTGAAATGTGTTGTTATTTCTATATCCCTTTTAATTAGGAGCATCAGATGACTGTGTGACAAACAGCATTGTGTTAATTGTGGAACTAGTAACACAAGGTTATATAACAATCATAGGACTAAATTGCATGATGTACCTAGCTACGTTAGCATAACTCTACATAGCCTGTCAGTGCCCCAGGGCAAGGAATCCAGACAGTCATATGTCACAGGTAATGACCTTAAAGTGGTTACCAAGTAACACTTCCAGTCATGACTGGCTTGTGTGTTGTTTGGGTTCTGCACATAAACACTGAAAAAGGATTATTTCCTACAAGACATTTTATCATTAAGATTAGATTTTAGTTCATCTGCTTCCATTTCTAACAAATATCAAGAAAACTAATTATAAGCAAATTAGGTGTTTCAGAACTCTGAGTAATTTCACGTATTTTTCCGGGTGTTGAGGACAAATGCTGGCGTTAGAGAGGCCCAGAGAACTCTTTCGCGCTTTTGTATATTTTCTGAGAATGCTATAAGATCAAATTTTTGGTCAATGATCTTTGGTGTTACACCTTCTCAACACAACTCAAGCCTGCATCTCTGGGACGTGGGAAAAAACATCCCTTCTGAAAGTTAATTGGTTTATGAGGGTGAACAACATCACATGCATGGATGATCTAACTGCATCCCTCAGATACAAAAATCAAACCCATCTTATTTCATTTTACATATTTAAATTTTTTTACTGCATAAACCTCGGCCCTTCTGAACTGCGCCATTGGCGCCACCCAAACTTAACAATTGTAGCCTTAAGCTGGCCATACACCTATAGATTATCTGCAGATTTTCTATGGTCAGAAGGAACAGATTCCTCCATCTACACTAAACTGTGCAGATGGAGGAATATCCCGCTGAGCCAAGCATCAGTATCTTGCTAGTTGGCCCCGCTGGCTCTCAAAATACCTGAACAATCTGATTAGATGCAGGCATTGTTCAGGTATTTTTCCAGCCAGCAGGGCCAACTAGCAAGCTTGGCCAGTGGGAGATTCCACCATCCACACAGTTTAGCGTAGATGGAGAAATCTGTTGCACTTTTTCCATCTGATCATAGAAAATCTGCAGATAATCTATAGGTGTATGGCAAGCTTAACACAGTGTCAAAGACTGGTTGCTCAACTCACAGGCTTGATTCCCCCCCTTCCAGAGAGCCGCAGCTAGTCTGTCCCCCTCACGTCCTCACTTTGTTCTTCTTTTACCCTTCCCTTTGCCTGGGTGTTTTTTTCTCCTACATTCTTCTTCTCATTTCTTCTCTTCTGTCCAATCTCCAAACACCTTCTCACGCCGTTTTTTTCCCCTTCATTAAATATAGTTCAAATTTCAACTTGTACATGAAGGCTGATTCTTTTATCATATATACATTATATTGCCAAAAGTATTGGGGCACCCCAATCCAAATCATTGGATTCAGGTGTTCCAACCACCTCCATGGCCACAGATGTATAAAATCAAGCACCTAGGCATGCAGACACTTCCACAAACATTTGTGAAAAATGGGTCGCTCTGAGGAGCTCAGTGAATTCAAGCATGGTACCGTGATAGGTTGCCACTTGTGCAATAAGTCCATAAGTGAAATTTCCTTGATACTAAACATTTCACGGTCAACGGTTAGTGGTATTATAACAAAGTGGAAGCAACTGGGAACAACAGAAACTCAGCCACAACGTGGTAGGCCACGTAAAATGACAGAGCAGGGTCGGCTCATGCTGAAGCGGACAGTGCGCAGAAGTCGCCAACTGCCTGCAGAGTCAATAGCTACAGACCTCCAAACTTCATGTGGCCATTAGATTGGCACAACAGTGTGTGGAGAGCTTCATAGAATGGGTTTCCATGGCCGAGGAGCTGCATCCAAACCTTACATCACCAAGTACATTGCAAAGCGTCGGATGCAGTGGTGTAAAGCACGCCGCCACTGGACTCTAGAGAAGTGGAGACGTGTTCTCTTTAGCGACGAATCACGTTTCTCTGTCTGACAAGACGATGGACGTTTTTGGGTTTGGCAGTTGGCAGGAGAACGGTACTTGCATGACGGCATTGTGTAAAGTTTGGTGGAGGGGTTGTGGTGTGGGGTTGTTTTTCAGGTGTTGGGCTTGGCCCTTTAGTTCCAGTGAAGGGAACTCTTAAGGCATTGCCACACCTGAAGGTATACTTAAGAATTGAACAATGTGGGGAAATGTTAAAAATATCCTTCATTGTTTGTAATTACCCTGAATTAGTGATATAGAATTTAAATACTTCTTTCCTACATTGTTTTTTGAAAAATTATTTGCCACAAGAGAGCTATAGATACTTAAAAACATGCCGTATGTAATTCTTAAGATGTCCAGCAGGATTATCCTGCAAAGCATTGCCAAATATGGTGAATGTGCAAGCATTGTGACATTGTATTGATTGCTATGGGTCACTGAACTTTGCACATCACTTCTGCTGCTAGCTCTACTTGCAGGAAGTCTTTAATCAATTGCTTAGTTTATGTGTTGTAGAACACATTGCAATTGTGACCTATATTCTACCTGTATATAAATTCAATCAATACATATAACAAATTACACAGATCGATTTATAACTAGCGAAGGAAAAGTGCACACTGTCAAAGGCAACACCAACATTCCCCAGCACTAAACTAGTCTGCACAAAAAAAGCCCAATGAAATGGTTTCAACAATTATATTAAAAACAGAGGTTTTTATTGTATATATTTTCGAATATATGCAAAGCCACATTACTGTGTCAGGTACCTCGGCAAAGTACCATCCCTAACTCAAAACTATATGAGCTCCCAACCTGGGAAATTTCTAGCATGTAGCAATGAGCACATCGAGAGCAAGCTTACCTTACAGATAAACTCCTTAAAAGGTCTCTTAACCCCCAAAAAAGTGTAAAGTTTAAATACTTTCTATGTTCTGCCCACCTGCATTGAGTACTGGGAAGTGTTTGCATATATAAAACACACACACCACATTTCAGATGGATCAAAAAGTAATTTTACATTCTTAGCCCTGGGATTACCATAATTTCTTTGTTACGACAGTCAATTCTCGTTGGAGAAAACCCTGGACTGTAACGCTTATGCCAATCAGTTCATGTGCTGGGTGTCTGTTACTACTTTACAAATCAGTGAAAGTCCTTCTTCCCCTTTGTTGTTGACAGAGATCCCACCACCCTCTTCTCTTTCTGACTCACCTCCCTTAGGGGTTTTCTTCTTAAGACGATGGGTCAGTGGAGTTCTCACCAAATTCCTGACGTCCTGGTCATCCCTAAACTTCTTTTTCTGGATCTCTTCGAACCACTCTCCAGACACGGCATGCAGCCATTTCACATCTCGCTTGGAGGTCCCAAGTTTACTGAAAAGACAGGAGAGAGTTTGTCTAGTGACTGCTCTCGGTCAGAGTTTTCCTCCCAATGCTGCATGTTTATTAGAATAATTAGACATTCTGCAGACGCGAGAGACACAAACCTGTTGGACCAGATGTTTTGTAGCGTCACCGACACAGCTTGTGGAGATGACACTCCTGCTGGACGAGGACGACTGCAGATGTTGTTGGAGGGGACAGGGACGTCATATAACACAGGTGATGCTAGTTAGGTGATCCAGAAGGGAGTGTAGACAACTGGGAACATGTACACAGGGAGGTGCAGCTCCTGTACAGGTTAGCTTGAGGCAGATGATATTGGCTGCGTGCAATGTTTACAGCACAGATTGAGAAATCCATTTCATAATTGCCAAAGCTTAAAAATAATTTACACTCTGTCTTGCTGATTGGAATTATCTAAGCTCATCAAAACACTTTGGGTAGAGGACTACGCGCATGGTTCAAATAACGCACCATAAACGAATATAGTAGGATTTAAATAAAATTTGGATGTTAGTATAAAGAGAGCTGTGATTTTACTGTAAAAAACGAAGGGTTAGTACAAAGGGCAAAAAACACCCTGTGACCAATCAGAAATTGTCTCTTACTAGTCTGAGTGCAGCAAACTAAAATGTGATTGGTTGTCATATGCAATTGCATTTTACATTGTGCTTCTGAATAATTGTACATTACTTTTCTTAAATGTCTTTTTGGAAATATAAAAAGGTTGCATAAAAAAAATAACCCCCTGCTAAAAAAAAAAACCCCTGCTAAGAAAAAAACCCCCAAACCCTAATCCATGCAGGGCTTTATCTACAGTTTGTGTGAAATTGCTGGAACCGTGATCCCTAAACAAACTGAGAAAATCCATTAGCGTAAAGGAAGTGAATGCCAGACGTCTGCACTTGTTGACAAGCTCTATTGAGTCACTTAGTGGGTGTGTCCACCATGATGACATATCATTGTCACGCGTGAATGCCCAAACTATGAGAGCTCAACGCCGTGTATGATCCGTCTGCACACAAATGGTTTTTCTGAGGTTTTCAGCAAAAGTACTTTATGTATTGTCTGTTAGAAGTCAGCTCTTCCAGCACACCTAGGAAAGGCATCTTTGTTGTTAATACCTTTAACACTGCTAATCATTATCTTTTCTGCCTCGATTCTTTCAGGCGCAGGTAAAACGTGTACACCACAGCTTTGTTTCTGGTGGGTACCGATGAGCTATACTCTCTCTCTCTCATCTTTTCTGTACTGGAGGATATGGGGGTGAGACTTCCCCAACTTAGGCCATGCCTAACCCTATGCTACAAACACAGCTGCTGTCAGAACACATGAACACTTGATTGTCTGCAAGCACCATTCAGCTGAAGTTTTTCCAAACATGTTCTTTCAGCAAAGGGTCGATCTAATGATGAAATTCTGCTTTTGGAATAGGTACACCCGGAGTGAATTTCAGCCGATTCCAGCCAAAATTCACTCCATGTGTACCCTACTTTATTCTTCTTACTTAATTTCCACATTGTATTTATAGCAGCCATGACAGATGAACAGGTTTGGAAACATGTTTGTACTCCGATCCACAGGTTGGGCACCACGGCTCTAGGAATTTGGATTTTATGCAAATCAAAAGGCACAGTGTCATTAATTGGCTATAGCCTTGCATGTACAACACAAATAGGTCCACTTTTTAAGTGTCCTCCCTCCCCTTCCTCCTCCTCAGTGAAATGCAGTATAGAACCTAGAAAAAAAAAAAAAAAAAAAAAAAGTTACAAAATACGTTCACCTTTTCACCAGCTTCTGTAGTGCAAGAGGTGACATCATCTTCCTGCCAAGATCCTGGGCAATGCTAAATATTCCAAATCTCATGAGAAGCCGCTGTAGAACAGTGCAGAATTGTCTCCTCAGCAAGATTTGGGATGCTCAACATTCTTTAGATCTTGCAGTCAGGAGAATGACTGCAAAAAAAATAAAAAAATAAAACAATAAGTTTAACCCTCTCCTCTATTGTAATTAATAATAAAAAGAAAGTGTTGGCTTTATATACATTTTAAATAATGGAGAAAGATTTACTGCAAGTACAAAAGTCACTTTTTCTCCCAGTGTTCAATGGGGAAACACTGGAAATGATGGGACATCCATAAGTCGTCTCAAAAAAGGGGCAAGAAAACAAACACAAGTGCCAAAGCAACCCTCAAGTGTGTGAGCAGATCACGCTGGGCGCCAGTATGACACTTCAAATAATACTGGCTACAGAATGACTCTGCCAATAGAAGAAACCTCAGCTTAAAAAGGTATTAAACCTGGGGTCTCAAACTACCAGCCAGTGGGCCAACTTAGGCCCGTGAACCGGTACTATGTGGCCTGCAGCCAGCTGACAAGTCAGGCACGTGGTCACAGACTGCGTACCTGACTTGTGGGAGCAGCTACACGGTCTGCATCTCTGTCAGATGCAGGTTGCATAGCTGCTCCTGTCAGATCCTTTAGGCCAGTGTTCTGACAGTCTTCACTGAACGCTAGCCGAAGGGATGGATTAGTAAATTCTGGACCAGACCTTACCAATCAACCACTGGATCACCAGGGATTGTGTCTCCTTGCATCTTCCCTTCAAAGATGTAAGCAGGTGAGAGGACTCATAGGGGGGAGGGGGTGGCGTGTATTGTATGTGTGTGTATATATATATTAGGCCCCATTCACACCTATAGTTCAGGTGCGATTAAGATTCCTGCGTCAGGAACTTACATTTTCCTGCAGCAGGAATCCCTAATCTGCCGTTTACAAGCGGCAGTTTTCACCCGTTCAAGTTAATAATCAGGTGACAGACACAGGTGACAGACATTAACACTTGTATCGTATATAGTTACATTTTATTTTGAAGCACGAAATTTGGCACGCAGCCCCCACAGGACTAAAAAATGTGTCCAGTGGCTCCCTGAGTTAATTGAGCTTGAGACTCCCGTCTTAAACCAAGCAGACCTGAGAAGAGATGTTTCACCTCATTGGGGCACAAAGCCAAATGTGCCTTGTGCTGTACAATCCTGTGTATAGTCATATGTGCCCCTTGCTTTACTTATTGTCCAACCTCCTGGCAGAGGCAACTATACCCATGAGTTTCAGAATAGAGTTCAACAATTGAATTGTATTGATAATTCACAAGGCATGTTAACTTTGATCTATTTTGGAGAAATTGTAAAGGCTTGTGTTGTCACTATGGATGATGAAATATGCTGTTAACTGCAGAGTAATGTGGTTTTACCTCCATGTTATAGGTCAGGGAGGTTTTGTGTTTTCAACTGGAAAAAGTCTAATAAAAATAGATCTCATTGAATAAAAGGCATTCCCTTTTCTACCTGCCTCATTCAATTTTTTCTGTAAACACAAAAGACACATTATTACCTAAATCTAGGATTAACCTCCCTATCCTTATCCAATAAACCGAAGAGCAATCTCCCCATGTGGCTAATCCACATCGTAACACTAGCCATACACTGCTAGATTCTTCTCGCTCAGCCTGTGGGCTACATGAGACAATCAATAGATTAATCTCCACTACCCGAACAGTAACTGTATCTGATGGGATGCAGTAACTGTAGGCCGATAATTCTCCACCCAGCTCAGTCGATTTTCAACTGAATTTTGTTGAGCTGGGTAGCACCAACAGGGCCACCCACAGCTTGAATTTTGGCAGAAAATCGGCTTTTGGCTTTAGTGTAATTAAAATTTAGGACACAAGAAGAGCACACCAAAGATGCACCCCTCCTCCATTGCCCAGGAAAGGAATGAGCCAGGTGCTTGCTCCAGTATGACCCCATACAAACAGCAGAAAAGCCAACTGCACACCGGATTCCGCTGGGATAGTTTATTGAAGCTTGTAGCACATCACTGGTGTCCCTCCCAAAGTCTGCCACTAACTGACGCATTTCACCCAATCACGGGTTTAAAAAGGAGAACTATGAGGTGAGTGACTTTCACTCAGCCTCATAGTTTGAGCCGACCTGTGACAATGAAACTGTCACCCGTCGGCTCAATAGATCGGTGAGCGAACACATACCGTCGCTCGCTCACTTCTCGATCTTGTCCCTGCAGAGAGCCGTGACTGTCACTCACGGCTCCCTGCGGGGATTCCCCCCCTCCCCGCTCCTCCAGCGCTGACTGGAGGAACGAACGGGAGCGGGTACAGCTGGCTCTTCCTCTAGATAGGCAGAGCCAGCTGTCAATCACGCAACTGGGTGGATCTCAACAGTAATGTCGGGATCCGTCCCGGCTGCGGCGGTCTCAGTATATAGTGGGCTGTAGGTCGTGGTATACTGAGCTTTGGGTCACGGGAGGACAATAGTTTATGTCCTCCCGTGACCCTGAGGAGAAATATGGGGAAAAACACTTACTCCATAGTTCTCCTTTAATCATAGCGATGAGGGCAGACCAGGGTAGTCTGTGCTTTATCGCATCAAATGAATGGGGACCAACCTTATAGCTCATTAAAACATAGTAGAATATAGCATAGAATATCATGAAATGTCCTGTAAATTCAACAATGCTATTATATACATAAATACATTCATTTAAAAATCATATATGCAAAACCTATCACTATGACTATGTTCATGATACAAAAAGAAATCCCCGATCAACTTGTGGTATGTAGTAGAATAGATCAGCCATTTCCAAAATACAACCAATCTCTCTTTATATAACTAAAGACCACCGCCTCCTTAAATCCTCAAACAAAATAAACGCATAGAGCATTGTGTCCACCATGAATTAAAGTGTTAATAGGAAAGGAAAGATAGGAAAGAGACTGGAAACTTCCTGGCAGGAAACAAAATGACAGATTTGGCAAACTGCTCACCTATATCACCATTGCATGTGGTGCAGTGCCAAACAAAACAGCACACTGCCCAGCCTTTGTACATACAATGTTTCCATCTCCTTCCCTCCATCGAGCTTACACTATTTTATTTAACAATTAATGGAGATGCCACTTTTGTTCAGGTTTATATATTTCCTCAAGTTTCTTTATTTTCATGAAGGTGTGCATATCATTCACATCTGGTTAAAATGTTTCTCGCAACAGATAACAGTCAGTGAACACTGAACGCAAAATTGGAGACACCCAACATCCCTTAAAAGCATAGTCCACTTTCTGGACCAGGTTTCCTGTTGCACTATACATGGGGTGTGTTAAGAAAAATGGTCACACAACCCGGCCCCTAACCCTTAAACCGCCCCCCCCACACACACACCCCTCCACACACACACACTTACTTCTGAATTGTAAAGATGTTCTCCTTTAGCTTTTCACTGCATGGAAATAAATATTTATCATTTACTGTCTTTTCCGTGTGGGTGTGAGACTCCTAAAAACAAGGGAGAACTCGTTTTTAACATGCATTTGGACAGGGCCAGAAGCACCAATAATGGGGGATGTAAACAACCTGTGCCTCTGAAACAGTATCTTGTGAATGGCTGAAAGTCATTTGTTCGGCAGCAAAGCACCACTGGATATTTTCTCAAAGTGACCTTGTGGTCAAGTAATCAACAAGCAGCAGATATGAAAAGTGTAAATACTCTAAAGTCCCCGAGGAACCCCCAAAACCAGGGCAATCTTTCATACTAGGCCCTTTCTATGATGGTTGGCCTCACTAACCAACAGCAAGGCATAGGAGTTTTCAGAAGGCAGGCATGAATGCACAACAGGAGCTGGTCAAGATTTGGATCACAAAGCACCCTAGGTACCAGTGCTCCATAATGCATTATCCTATTTCAATAGTAACTGTAATACTGTTCTAAATTGTGCTTTAAAAAAGGCTTGTGTAATAGAAATAGAAACATAATCAAGTAAGGACAGGCTCCCCTTGAGGGCAACCATTGAGAACTCTTGTTAAGGCAGCATAAAAATGGGGAACTAGCTGTACTGGTAGATCAGATTCAATAAATTGTTGTGTCATCTATATTCTTAGGGGCATATACTTATTTTTCCTCAATTTATTAAAAATACACATAAGCGTTACCAAGAGAAAACATGATCTCAACGTCTTCTCACAAGTTCTTCATTTTTTGATCAGATATTATAAAAACACACACACACACACACACACACACTTTAAAAGTATCAACAAAAAAGAAAGAAGCGCTTGCTGCAGCAACTACTGTATCAAAAAATAAAATCGCTACATTGTGGTCACCTTGAGCACCACATGTACCTTGTGGACTTTGAAACCATGGTAGTGCGAATGGGATTGGGCCTTTACATTATAAATCAGACACATCTGACAGCTGCAGAGAGTTGCAAAACCTAAATGCAACATTTTCATTTTGATAACATGCTGCTAATATAAGTTATAATATGCTGCTACAGTGATCAGTGCAGTACAAGCGGACTGTGCCTCTATTACACAGGTCAGACTCTGGAAGGTAAAACTGAATGCGGGTTCTGGAATTTAAACATTTGTGAGCCAATGGAAAAGGACTGCAGATCATACCATTTTTTGGGGACAGATAGAGCTTTCTTTTGGTGGTATTTAATCACCACTGGGGGTTTTATTTTTTACTATATAAAACAAAAAAAGTTCCCTAAATTTTGAAAAAAATGTTTCCCTATAAAATGTTATGAAACATTTTCACCCCAATTTTTTGGTATAATATAAAAGACGGGGTCACGTCGGGTAAAGACACTAAACATGTCAACCTTTAAAATTTTGCGCGCCCGTTATCAGTGTTATCAGTGATTGATGGCCCTAAAATTATTGCTCTCACGCCGACGTTCGGGCCGATATGTAACATGTGCTGCATAATGGGCGCAATCATAGTTTTCGTACATAGGCGCACCCGACGCATATTTGCATGTGTATGTGGGGGGGTGCTTCATCAGCTTCTCTCCGGTGTTCTGCACCGGAGAGTGACACTGAATGCAAGAAGTGATGTAACATGCATCACTTCCTGCATTCGGGGACAGGAAGAGAGATCAAAGGGAAATCGAGTAATGATCTCCCTTTGATCTGCTGTTAGAGCGTCGCCGTGCCGATCACAGCCACACCGGCCACATCGGATCACGGACCGGCAGCGGCGACGAGGAGACAGCGGGACATATGTAAGGGGGGGGGGCCCGCACACCCGCAAGCGATCGGGCGTCTCTAGAGACGCCTGATCGCTTGTATGTAAACAGCCATCGCTGGCTGTTTACATGCTCACAGTTTTCCCTCTCGTGCGCGCACACGAGAGGGGGGGAGGGGCAGGACGTCTTAAGACGCCCTCCCGCTCCTAGCAGACTCCCATCCAGCCGTTCACAAACGGCCATGGACGGAAGGTGGTTAAAGAAGGAAGAGTGTTTATACATATGGTTTACTGCGATGATATGATGCATGTGCTACCCCGAGCTGAGGGTTTATTACTACTACTAGTCTTTTTCTCACAATGGAAATAGGGGATACCATAGATGACCTATTCCTTAACCCCTTAAGGACCAAGCTTCAGATGCTTCTCTTTCAGTTAAGGACCAAAGCAATTTTTGCTGTGTTAAACCACAAATTTCCATCTTTCTTATTTATTGCACCAACACATATTATACAGTAGACCGTTTTTTAAAGGACAAAAAGGTCTTTCATTTGATGTGACATATATAGTGCATCAGGGAAGCTTAAACCCTTAGGGACCCATGACGGAATAATTCCGTTATGGGTCCTTGTGGCACAGACAACCATGACGCAATAATTCTGCCATTGGTCCTTAAGAGGATACTATGCTATTTTCTTGGCTGATGTGCCGATTCTCTGGCTTTAATTGAGTCATTGACCTGGATCATGTATACAGATGGAAAAAAAAGTCAGACTTTTTGTCTGCATTCCTATTTCTGATTAATGTATTGAAGCCAGAGGGTTAGCATAACAGCAGGCCACTAGTGTTTTCAGAAGGAGCGATCAGCAATGGCTACATCAATGCTTCTCTCATGATGGGCGCAATGAAAGAAAAACGTCAGCGAGGGTGCAATGTTAGACAATTTTTTTGAGAACAGACAGATCTTATATAGACAAAACACACACATGCAGGGAAAGAGCGCACTTTTTAGTTTCATCCACCTTTCTTAGAGAATGACTCACACCAGGGCTCAAAATTGCGTGGGGGGCAAGTGAAAATTAAGTCATTGAGTCAGTCATGGACCGAGTATGACTTCACCTATGCTGCTGCTCACGGCCGTGCACCTTCCCATATTAAAGATGGCCGCATGATGGCAGCCATCTTTACTAAGGTCCGTGGCAGCGTAACTTCCAGTCTGTGCGCAAAGGATTATGGGAGCTGTAGTTTTCGCTTTTACAGAGCTGTGACAGCAGTGGGTGAGTGTGTCACGTAGAGGGTATTCATTTGGTTAGTTTTTATTGCTGCCGTGGTCTGTCCCAGTGTTCTATCATTCCATCTATTATGTGGCAAATAAGTTGCGCTCGGTCTAGTTGTGAATGGATGTGAAAGTGTATTCCATCTAACCCGTAACTTTAATCCGATCCGATAAAGTCACGGGTCCGATGGAATGATAGAACACTGTAACTTCACAATACAGGGGAAGCCCTGGGGTGGACTGGCAGACCACGGAAGGGGCCCCAGCAGTTTGCTGGGCCGCAGGTCCCCTTCTTGCAGCCTGAGCTGCAATAACTATGCATTGGACCTGGCTTAATCTTAGCTGTGGCTGTATGTGTAATGTCCTATGCGTTGTGCTGTGGCTGTATGTGTAATGTCCTATGCTTTGTGCTGTGGTTGTATGTGTATTGCTCAGTGCGTTGTGCTGTGACTGTATGTGTAATGTCCTGTGTGTTGTGCTGTGGTTGTATGTGTAATGCTCTGTGCATTGTGCTGTGGCTGTATGTGTAATGCTCTGTGCATTGTGCTGTGGTTGTATGTGTAATGCTCTGTGTGTTGTGCTGTGGCTGTATGTGTAATGCTCTGTGTGTTGTGCTATGGCTGTATGTGTAATGCTCTGTGCATTGTGATGTGGCTGTATGTGTAATGCTCTGTGCATTGTGCTGTGGCTGCATGTGTAATGCTCTGTGTGTTGTGCTATGGCTGTATGTGTAATGTCCTGTGCGTTGTGCTGTGCCTGTATGTGTAATGTACTGCGCCCTGTGCGGGTTGTGCCCTGTGTGTGTTTGTGTTATGCAGGGCAACTGGTGGCGAGTAACTTTTAAGACCTGGCTAGTAGCTCAGGACCTGACATTTTTAGCCCTGACTCACACTACCTGTCACCCGAATACAACACACTGATCAAACTATGAAGCGTTAATCATTGTTTTCTCTTGCGCCGTCCTAAAAACCAGAAAACAATTAACTCACCCACACACATGTATGACTCCTTGGCTTCTATGCCATCATTTGCATCACTGAAGCAAACTTCCCAAAATGTAAACTTCTATTTAGGAGGAGCCCTGGTTAATGGACAAAGTTGCTCTTTGTCTCTGATGTCATGTTTCTAGTTTTTTAACAGTGACATGGTCAGTTATATTTTCATTCAGAAAAAAACACAACAACCTCACATGGCTTGGTTTTAACCAGTTGACATCCGCGGTGTTAAACCCCCTTCCCATCCAGGCCATTTTTCAGTATTCAGCGCTTAAATTATATGCTAAAAACATAGCTTTCTTCAAGCTCTGACCGGTGACTTTGCCCAGGCTGAGATGTCAGTCTGCTGCAGATAGGAGGGAGAATATATTCAGTCTCCTGTACCTCAGTGATCAGACTGTATGTTACTTTATAGCAAGTTGCATAAGCAGTGGGATTGGAATTCAGGGGTGTTCTGGACACAGGATAATGATGCTATGGTTGTAGGAAAGAAAATGTTTAATTTGTGGCAGTTTTACAAAATCATAGCTGCTCCATATAAAAGTATATTAACCCCTTCATGACTGAGGCCCTTTTTTCAATTTTTGCACCCATGTTATATTCCACATTTTAGGCCTGAAAATGACGTAAAACCCCCCAACATTATATAAATTTTTATGTTGCGCAATATTAGCGCAACTCCTTATTAAACCCCAAAATTTAGTGACAAATTTAATTAAATGCCCCAAAACACAACAAATTACCCATTTTTTTAATGAAATATAAAAGATGAGGTTACAACGAGTAAAACGATACCCAACATGCCCAGTTTACAGATTGCGTGCGACCGTGAAACGGCGAAAAACTGCAGTACCCCAAAAAGTCAATAAAAGACACTTTAAAAGCCCCCACAGGTCATCAATTTAGATAGGGGTTAATAACATTAAAGCCCAATTTAAACATTTTTTTTAGTTATGGATAGAGTGCTCAATGTTTTTGCATTCTTGTTTATTTTTGAGTTGGGAATTATTTAGGAAAAGTCTACCATAATTTTTCTTTTTGTCCCATTGTATAATTTTTTTTCTCACTTTGTCTCAAGGGACAATGGGAAGTGAAATCTCTCCAAAGTAAGTTAACTCCTCTTTTGTCACCAGAACAAGTGCCCTGCATTTCATCAGGTGACCTTATTATGATCAACTCTCTGATCAAGTCAACTGATGAAATGCGTTAGCTTGTGGTCTTCTGGAGAAACTGTGGCTTTCATTTGTTTTTACCTGGGTTTTTTAATAAACACATTGCGCAAGAATCTCCCCATTCCCTTGGTGGGGTGCTTTGATATGCCCGGACTTTATGTTCCTTAGAAGTGGAGTGTTACTGAGGCAGTCCCAGTGCTGCCACAGTCGTGGGTAGTCTGAAGAGAGACCTTGTGGTTGATCACATTATTCAGGTCAGTGTACTCCCCACAGGGAGAGTGAAGGAGGGTGTGCAGGTCTTTATCTTTATTCATAGGTTCTTGCTGCACGAATCCCCGAACGCAGCGCATGTCCTCGTGAAATGGGGCCTTACTCCTCCCAACTCTATCCAAAATTAATAAAAAAAGGTTTAGCCACTTTAGGACAGAGGCAAAAAAAAAAAATCTGATTTTTTATTTTGCATCAGGTAGATACCAAATATGTCAAGCTTTAAAATTGTGTGCATCTGTGAAATGGCAAAAAAAAACTATGGTACCCAAGATTGCCTCATAGGCTACATTTAACCCTTTCACTGCCAAGGAAATGTTTGCACACGTAATCCACATTTCAGGCCAGAAAATTACTTAAAACACACTTTAAAACATTTTATACATTCTGAAAGCAAAGACCCTGTAGAATAAAATGGTGGCAGTTGCAGATTTTTACGTTGCACGATATTAGCGCACTGCTTTGTCAAACCCCAAATTTTAGTAAAAACTAAATTTTACATTTTAGGACACAACATAACACCCAATTTTTTTGCAAAATATAAACGATGAGGTTACGGCAAGTAAATAACATGCCCAGGTTACAATTGCAAAACAACGCCAAAATACGATACTCAAACTTGTCCATAGGCGATGCTTTAAAAGCCTGTACAGGTCATCAGTTTAGAGATATCCATGAATAAATAAACATGAGAATGCTTAAACATTTGTAATTGCAACAATTTTCTACGCGAAGCGGTGCATTATCTGACAGAAATGCAGGGGTGCCAATATGTTTGTCCATGACTGTAAAAACACACACATATATATATATATATATATGTGCCAATACCAAGTTTTTGGGCGAGTACCCTTACTCGCCCAAATGCTACGATACCTTCCCCGATACATGAACATTTACTCTGACCGGCAGTGCCGTTGGGGGAACATGGAGCCAGCTTCCCGTGCGATCCGGAAGCTTGACGGCGAGTAATGACCCGCCTCTTAACTTTCCGATTGGCTGGAAAGCCGGCTTTCCGGCCAATCAGCATCGACCTGGCTTCCCGGCCAATCAGCATCGATCTGGCTTCCCGGCCAATCAGCATCGATCTGGCTTCCCGGCCAATCAGCTTCGATCTGGCTTCCCGGCCAATCAGGATGCTCGGAGGCGGCGGTCTCCCAGCCAAGCACAATCAAGCCGGCCAAACATGGAACCAGCTTCTCAAATTGCCCAGGAAGCACCGCTATCTGTACTCGGTGTCAGCGAGTACCGAAAGCAAAATATTGGTACTAGTACTCGATACCTAAAAACTGGTATTGGTGCATCCCTGATGTACACATACACATTATATACACTCACTATAGTGCCAAAAGTATTAGGACGCCTGCCTTTACATGCACATGAACTTTAATGGCATCCCAGTCTTAGTCCGTAGGGTTCAATATTGAGTTGGCCCGCCCTTTGCAGCTTCAACTCTTCGGGGAAGGCTGTCCACAAGGGTTTAGCAGTGTGTCTATGGGAATGTTTGACCATTCTTCCAGAAGTGCATTTGTGAGGTCAGGTACTGATGTTGGATGAGAAGGGCTGGATCGCAGTCTGCGCTTTAATTCATCCCAGAGGTGTTCTATCGGGTTGAGGTCAGAACTCTGTGCAGGCCAGTAAAGTTCCTCCACCCCAAACTCATTCATCCATGTCTTCATGGACCTTGCTTTGTGCACTGGTGCGCAGTCATGTTGGAACAGGAAGGGGCTATCCCCAAACTGTTCCCACAAAGTTGGGAGCATGAAATTGTCCAAAATGTCTCTTGGTATGCTGATGCCTTAAGAGTTCCCTTCACTGGAACTGAAGCCCCGTTCACAATGAGCGATTTATCGCGCGGTAATTTCGCGCTCCAATGCATTTCAATGGGGCAAAGGGTCCTGCTGTCGCGGGTCGTGTGTCGCTACAGCAGGACCCTTTTTGGAGCGGATTTAGCCACGATTCAAGCTTGCACCATGCAAGCTTGAACGCGATATCGCGTAGTGGGAACGGGGCCTGAAGGGCCAAGCCCAACCCCTTAAAAACAACCCCACACCATAATCCCCCCTCCACCAAACTTTACACAATGCAGTCATGCAAGTACCGTTCTCCTGCCAACTGCCAAACACGTCCATCGTCTTGTCAGACAGAGAAACGTGATTCGTCGCTCCAGAGAACACGTCTCTACTTCTCTAGAGTCCAGTGGCGGCGTTCTTTACACCACTGCATCCGACGCTTTGCAATGTACTTGGTGATGTAAAGTTTGGATGCAGCTCCTCGGCCATGGAAACCCATTCCATGAAGCCCTCTACGCACTGTTGTTGTGCCAATCTGAAGGCCACATGAAGTTTGGAGGTCTGTAGCTATTGACTCTGCAGACAGTTGCCGACTCTGTGCACTGTGCGCTTCAGCATGCGCCGACCCCGCTCTGTCATTTTACGTGGCCTACCACTTCATGGTTGAGTTGCTGTTTTTACTGTGTTATAATCCCACTAACAGGTGACCGTGAAATATTTAGTAGCAAGGAAAGTTGACGGATGGACTTATTGCACAGGTGGCAACCTATCACAGTACCACGCTTGAATTCACTGAGCTCCTGAGAGCGACCCATTATTTCACAAATTTGTAGAAGCGTCTGCATGCCTAGGTGCTTGATTGTATACACCTGTGGCCATGGAGGTGATTGGAACACCTGAATCCAATGATTTGGAGGATATAGTGTGTGTGAGTGTACGTAATCCCGAAGTGATACTTGGATGTAGAGAAGTAATATTTTTATTATAATGAGGCAGTGGAAGAGCTCTCACTAAAGCTGTGAGGCGTATATGTCACACACCCAGCTCTACTGGAAGCCAATCCAACATTGATGATTGCCGTCTGAGCAAGTCTATCCAGTTCCCAGTATTACAAAATGAAATGGTAAAAGTAAAAGACTCTGCAGCTTTGTCAGCAATCAGAGGAATGACATCTTACATACTTCACCATATTCGCGGCCTAGAAATACAATGAAAACCAAACACAGGAGTGGCAGGTATACAACCTCACACACCAATGGCTTTTAATTGTGGTGAAGGTTTTTCATGTCAGTATAAAAGAAACCTATTTTCAAGAAGCCAATCCTGACCTTCTTGAAAATGCTAGTTGCCTGGCTATCCTGCTGAGCCTTTGCCTTTAATATGGTCTGGGTGAGGAACACTTAGAGCTACCAGGAGTTTTACTTTCTGCATATTTGTTCTGGGTTAATAGCTCAGAAAATGCTGAATGCACAAGTAGCTGATATATTCTTCACCGGCTTTTTTTTTTATTCATGGAGGAATCCAAAGGAAACAAGTCACTCACGTAAAGCTGAGCTGAAATGCAGAAGATAATGTCATTTAAAGGATAACTCCAGGCAAATAAAAAAAACTACCCTTGCAGTCGGGCTACCCTCGCACTGCAAAGATTAAGTGCTCACTTGGTCTAGGGGAATAAAGCAGATTTACTTAACTGATCCCAGCTTCCTCCCGGCTGCTAGATTGGTCCCTGCTTCTTCTCTAAGAACGTCATCACATCTTAATGCTGAACTCCAGGTAAACCGCTGAATTACATATATGGTAAGCGGTTTTACCTTTATATTTCTTTCCAAACAGTCTTGGGATTACACAGCCAGCCTAATGACCTGGCTTTTCTTTGCTGCACTTAAGCAATACAGTTAGGTCACCTCCCAGCAAGCTGTGACTGGACAGTGAAGGAGCAGCAACAGGCTGATGAGATCAAGAGGCTGATTTACTATAACTGTGCTGCCCCTCCCTCTCTCAATCCTTTGCTTTATAGGGGACTACAAGCTGCTGAAATCAAGTCAGATTATAGGTATTTATATTAGTTGCATTTAAAACATATTTATTTTCATTTCATTTTCCAGTAGCTCAGGAGAATCAACATTCGCTAATAGGGTGGAACAGAAACTTGTAAAATGACCTGGACAAGGCACCTTGGGCCTCGGCGATGTCACTAGAAGCTGATGGATTGATGGGCTGCCTCTTCTTTAGAACCGATCTAATGCATTTTACATACATCGTTTTGGGCTCAAAGAAAAAAACACTGAACACAGGGCGCGTAACACCACGCGGTAATATTACAAATCTTCACTTACTTGGAATCTAAACCTGGAGGTGCACACAGCGAGTACAGCCAGGGGCGTCCCGAGGCTGGGTGACACCCGGAGCGGTAACCGAGTGTCACCCCGCCGAGACGTCATCGCGCGGCAGTATTCTGATACCTGCCGGTGGCCATCTTGGTGATGGACTCCGGCAGAGAGAGGAGGGGACAGTCACCCGGTGGGATAAGGTATGCCGCCGGGTCCCCTCCTCTCTCCTGATACTGTCGGGCGTTCGGTCCATGACGCCACTGAGAACAGCCTACCGGCACATAAAAACAGAATTATGGTCAATAAAAATGAAAAGAAAAAATACAGAAACACCAATTTCTTGATTTTCCCCTTACTCTTTCAGCAAGCTCCCAGACTTGCCTGCTCATCCTGCCAGCCAAGTGCTGAGCCTCCTACTTCCTGTAACTGGGTGACCGTGCTAACCCTCACTTCTGAATTGAGGGCAGTGTTGTCACCAGTACATTGTGCCAGCAAGGACTGCAGCGCGACATACAGACACAGTAGGGGGGGTATTAGAACCGATAAAATTGACATCTATGATACAGCTTTGATATAAAGGTTTTCCTTGATATCCTTATCTGAAATCAGCATGTGGCTGTGTGATAGGCAAATGAGGACCATCCAAGGGTTCCTGGGGCAGGGACGCTGATGTATGAGGATTTGCTGGACTGTCATCTCCTGGGACGAGCCCGAAACCCTGCTGGTATTTACTGGCCACACCTGTATCAGCAATGCAGCATACATGCTGGGATGGGGCAGGGACATATGATGGAACCTTCTTCATGTGTGATCATCTGCACAAACCTAGCTCACAAGCAGGAACAATGGTAACTTTGGTGACCTCTTGGACAAGGCAAGTCTTTCTGGGATCTACAATCAAGAATGTGATTCGCTGAGACCTGCTGGAGAGGAGTGTTCTGAGCACAGAGAAAAACCCAT